TCAAACTTTTAATAACTAATCAAACACGAGCATCTGGCTCGTTAAATATTCAAACTTTTAATAACTAATCAAACACGAGCATCTGGCTCGTTAAATATTCAAACTCTTAATAACTAATCAAACACGAGCATCTTTAACTACCTTGTAAGTTAAAGGCCAGGATGCCAAAAATGAGTACATTTATTAGTTTGGCCTTAGAACTTCGTCATTTCAGGTAAATAATGGAGATGTTGATTTGCAAAGGCCTCATTCGAGCAATGATTTGGTGTGCTACACGGCGAAAAACCCCTTCCACATCGAATTTCTTCACAGTGAAAGGCGGAAAGTGCAAATTAAAATACCTTCAACTAAGAAGAGACTGCCATCTCCTTCACACAAAGGTAGCGAAGCTGCCTCGCCATTAAAACCAGCTCATACAAATGACAGAGTATCCGTAAAGCTCAAGAAAGGCGGTCTGATTCGTCATACGCCTGAAGGAAAACGGCGACGAAGATCCGGTCTTGCTAAACTTCAGCATTCAGCTGCTGATGTGTGAAGTAAAACTTCAAATTGAATTTAAAATTTGATGAAAAATAGCTGTAGAATGCTTCATGAATGTATTTTAGTTCAAATAACACATCCTAGTCTTAGTTAACAATGAGGCAGTGAAATCTGCATTACATTATGTTGTCATAGATTAGGGTCTTATATGTAAATTTTGGTGTTTTTTTAGGCCTGTATTTAACATAATTGTTTACATGAACTTTAATTGTTCATCTCTCATGTATCAGTAGCCTAGATGTCTCTGATTGAAGTAAAAAGCAGGACGATTTACAAACAAGCCCCTCAACTCTTATGTATTTACTTATCTAACACCAAAATTTTAATTTTTACATAAATGCCACCATACTTTTGTATGAAATTGTTTATTTCATTTTTTAGACGGTAAAATGATGGTATTTCTTGCGACGGGAAAGATTTTGGTGTACATATAAAAAGTGAAGTTTAGGTGCTGGATATATAAATACATATGAATTGGGTGGTATGTTTGTAAATTCCCCAAATATTTTTAATCAGGATTGCATCTAAAGGTTCCGATTAATGATGTCACAGAACAATTCCGTTTATTTTAAAATGGACATGATTTGTGTTACTTTAATTGGTTGGCATTTCATAAGTTGGGACGAAGCACTGCATTAGAACCCACTGAAAATAAAATAAAAATTAAAATTAAAAAAGGTGTTCGTATTATGTTGTTTATTATGGTGTTATTGAAGTGTTATTGTTGTGAATATTGTGGTTGTATTTTGGTGTTATTGTGGTAGTATGATGTTATTGGAGTGATATTGTGGTTGTATTGTGGTGTTATTATGGTGGTCTTATGGTGTTGGAGTAATATTGTGGTTGTATTGTGGTGGTATTGTGGATGTATTGTGATGTTTATGGTGGTCTTATGGTGTTGGAGTAATATTGTGGTATTGTGGTGGTATTGTGGATGTATTGTGATGTTTTTTTGGCGGTATTGTGATGATATTCTGACGATTCTATGATGTTATTCTATTGGTGTTTTTATGAAGTTATTTTATTTTATTTATAATTTTTTGACAAAATACATCTTTTTTTCCCTTTTTTTTTTTTATTATTTTCAGTAGGTCGGGCACTATTGTTGGAGTGGCTGACTGTCTGCGTACTCTTGATGTAATATTTTTTCCTCAATGAGGGTATGCAATGAGTTGGTCTGGTTGAGTTGGGTTGATAAATTTGATTATTTAATTAAACTAAATTAAATAATAGATAAAATCTACCTGATCAAATGAGATGTTAAATTGAATTAAAATTATTGAAATATATTTAAATTTATTCAGTTCAATTTTTATTTAATTGAAATTTGAAATCTCTCTGAAGTTTTAGGCACTGAATCAGCTCGGATTGAT